ATATAATGAATGGTGAATTATTAAGATCCATGCTTTCAGTTATTCATTAACTCAAACTGCAGCTTGTGAATTAAGAGGATGGTGATAGAACATTCACTCAGTTTTTGTAACCACTAATTTTTGTATGTTTTCTTTTTAAAAGGTTTTCTTTATTATTGAGAATTTCATCCATGTACTCAATGAAATATGATCAGGTACACCTCCAATTTTCCCCTCCAACACTCTCTGTAACTTCTCACCATATCTGTCTTCCAAACTCATGCATTTTTTGAACAATCAGGTAAGTCCAATCAGTGTTGCATAGATTAGGGGACATTCACTGGAGCATAGTAATCTTATAAATGGCCACATCTTCAATAAAGAATTATTCTCTTTCCCTTAACAATTATCAACTGTCAATAGTATCTTACTAAGTGGAAGGGGTAGGAGAACATATACCATCTATACTGGAATTTTTCCAGGCTTGATTTTGTGCAGGTTTTGTGAAGAAAACCAAACTATATTTGCAGTGACTTCATGAGTACAAATCAATGCCATTTCCAGAAGATAATATTTCACAATTTCACAATACTCCACCTCCTACCTTCCATACTTTCTAGTGTGTGTGCATTTGAATAATTATATCAGAAAATTCCTTCACATAACTGTAAAAATAATGCAGTTTTCACATTCTAGATGGAATCTATGAGTATACTAAAGTGAATCTGAATAAAAAATAACATCCACTGTGCTGCAGCCAAATTAATTCCAATTGGTTGGGTCAAAGTTGTACTTACTAATAAAATAGCAAATATAGGCTAACAACCATATAAGAATTCTTATTAAATAAATATTTGAAACCCCAGGACATTAAAAACAAACACTAAAACATCAAAAGTCCTAATAACAAACAATAAAATATTAAATTATTAAAAGCAAATATTAGAATATAGTGTGATCTTGGTTTTATTAATTAAGACAGTTATATAACTTGAAACCCTAAAGTACCAAAAGAAGCTCAATTCTCACAAACAACAGAAATCCATAGTATTCAAAGTGAACACACAAACTACCCCTTCAGATTTTACTCCATTCTCTCCTTTCCATGAATCATGATCACCCACTATAAATAGATGGTAAACATGGTGTTGTCTGTTACCTTTCCCTCAAAGGCCCTTTTCTAATACTCAGATAATGTTATTTTTAACTATCCAAACTTAATTCAATGACATACAGTTTTTATGTACTTCTCTGTTCTTGATCTCATTAGATACATCATTAAACCATCATTTACCTGCACTACTCTGATAGCAAGTTAGTTGATTCTTTCTTTTGTTTTCTACAAATTTTTACTTGACGTCAAAAGCTATAGTTAAGAAATAAATCAAAAGTGGTCCCTGAGGTGAATAAGGAAATATCACAGTGGGTATTTCCTCTTATGTAAACATGATGACTTGAATTTGTGTAGCAGAAGGCACAGATAGATGAATCACTGGGGCTTACTGATAACCATCCATGCTCCAGGTTTAGTAAAGGATCCTGTCTCATAAGAATGAGTTGGAGGATGATAAAAAAGGACACTGGATGCCCAATAATCTTGGTGTGCACATAAGTATGACAATCTCCCACATACATACAGGCCTATACACCACACACATACACACTCACACACATATACACACAAAGTTTAAAATTAATACTAGAATATTTATAATAGCCAAATGATAGTACCCTTGAATAGCATGAATTACGAATAAGGTTTGGAGTTCAAGCCCTAAATTGAACAACAAAAACAACCAAACAAAAAACCCTCAAAACGGAAAACCAGTAGTACTTGCTTTAAAATAACTTACTCTTGAATTGAGGTTAAAAGGAGGCACAAAACATAATCTTGATTATAAATGCATCTATATATCAATCCCTCCACATAGAATGTGATAAATTTGTTGATATATAATTACTTTCCAAACATCTAGCCTTGAATTTCTCCAACTTATTTGCTGCCCTGAGAATGCAATTTGTAACATACAAATGTGATAAGATATGAATTATTTATATATCAACTACTACTTAAATGAAGCTTTTCTATATTCATTTCAATTGTCCAAGTATGCTTGGGAACATTATTGTAAGAAGTCTCTAAAACCATTTTAATGGACATCAGGGCCAGAATTATTTTTGATAATCCTAAAATGTCATTTTTTTAAACTTCTACCTTCTCAGATTTTACACTCAAAATTTCCAGTCATGGGGGCTGGAGAGATGGCTCAGAGGTTAAGAGCATTGTTTGCTCTTCCAAAGGTCCTGAGTTCAATTCCCAGCAACCACATGGTGGCTCACACCCATCTGTAAAGAGGTTTGGTGCCCTCTTCAGGCCTGCAGACATATACACATAGACAGAATATTGTATACACAATAAATAAATAAATATTTTTTTAAAAAATTCCAGTCATGCATAACTTGTTATGACTGCATAACTTGTGTAGAAACAGATTGCATGAAGAAACAAATATGAGAATTCAAATGTCTCCAATTAAACCAGATATTAAAACATACAAGATGGTCAAAAGCAATGCAGATCTCCTCATTAAATGTATTTTGTTTAGGAAACATTAAATATATTTCATAAACTATATACTGCTTATGGTAAAATGCAATGGGTTTATTATCCTAAATACAGTAAAACATACTTAAACAATTTTCAGCTTTTATTTCTAATAATGGCAAATATCACTAGAGAAAATCCACAGCAATTATATTTTACAATACTCAATGAAATTTGAGTATAATGAGGTCTTGAGTTGTAAAAGATTGAAAACTTGTGCAATAAATCATATTCAATTATGAATTTGATTTGTCCTAAGGAGTGTACACTTACTCTTTGCTCCATTCACACAAGACTTTCTTTTTTCCACAATCTGTCTGGTACTATCTCCCACCTTCCTAGATCCTACCAGAAAAGGAACTGAAGCAAGATGAAGACGAGGCAGGAACAGAGTAGTGTACACAAGGACACAATAAAAAATTCAGGTTGAGGCTGTCTGCTGCACTGTTTACTTCCTTCATTGTTATATGCAAATGATTTTCTGGAAACTACTATACACACTATCACTAACCCAAAACAATTACTAATAATATTTTCTGCCAACCTGTTTTAGCGAGACCCTCAGGTAATAATTCAAATATTATAGTTTGATTACAATCAATCAACATTGTTTTAGGATTTTTTACCTCTCTTGTTTCCAAGTGAAAGTCTGTTTTGCTTGAAGGACCAAAACTTGGAATATTTATTTCTAAAATATAGAAAACATATTTAAATGTAAGTTTTAGTAACACTTAATGGAAGATGTTCATACTAATCTTAGTATGCATTTCGTATCTAATTGTTTGATTTACCAGTGTGCCTCATTTACATGAAAGAAGAGTAGATTTGCCTATTACATGAGAAGTATAATATTATTTTTCAGAAATGACTGTCTTTTGGATGGCTAAACACTTTGGGACAGATCAGTTACTCATTTCTTTCTTTGATTGATACTTTCAAATTTAGCCTGGCATATTTTATTCTTGTAGCAATCCCATAGAATATACACTTTTAACCCTCAAACCCATAACTCTCTATTATTTTCAACTAGAAAACTAATTTGGACTTTATTTGAATCTAGTTATTTGCTTATTACACTCCCATACTTAAAAAATCTGCCAGATACTTAAGAATCATTCAGAACTTGCCTTGTATACCATTACCCATCTGGATTTTTCTCCTTCTCTGTTATATCACCATTAGCAGCACAAGCAGCAGAGCAGAATGAGGAGAATGAATATCATAGATTTATATTTCTGGTCTCATATCTATGAGTTCATGGAGAGGTTGCCCCAGACCTGAGGTGTGAACACGTTGTACTGCCCCACACCATAATATCACTGGCCTAAATAATTCACCATACAATTGCCTTCAACTTATCAAGAAATGCTTGAATATCCTCTTTAAATTTTTTTACAAATTATTTTTTTACCATCTGCACCACACCGGCTATAACTTAAAGGCATTATTTTCTCATATGGATTAAAACAAGAGTTAATACTCATTCCCACACTACACTATTTTTACACAAAACAGCTAATGAAATTATTTTGAAACAAGAAACAATATTTATTATCCTGTTCAAAATATTAAAAAAGGTGCTTGCAGCCAATCCTGACAATATGAGATCAATCTCCTAAACTTACATGAGAACTGGACTCCTTCAAGTTGTCCTCCTATTGCATACACTCACCATCCATTTGCCACAAACGAATCTAATTAAAAAGAAAAAACCACATGGAGTAATCTCATTCCTGCCGAAGAAGAGCTCTTAAACTAGATAAAAAAGAAAAAAAGGGGGGAAAAGAAACGTAAAAAAGAAACAAAAAACAGCCGTTCAAGCCACCCAAGCGGCCCTATGATAACGGAGTAAGTGAAATACTATTCGAAGCTTCCTGAATTTCACCAGGTACCATAACACACATCAATTACACATTGTGCAGTCTCATCTCTGTCAAAGCAGAGCTTTTCAACTGGAAAATAAAGAAAAAAGGAAAGAAAGAAAAGAAAAAACAAAACCCAGCCACCCAAGGCGCCCGAGGCGCCCAAGCCGCCCTAAAATATCAAGATAGGCGCGATGTAATTTGAAGCTTTCTGAACTTCACCAGCTACCATAACACATATCCTTTTTGTCGGCAAGCTGTTTCCTATCCCTTCCCCCCCCTTTTTTTTTTTCTGTTTTACATTTTACCCGAGGCCTTGTGGTGAGCATGCCGCTTCTCACTTCTCCGGTCTGTTGGTTTGTTGCCCCTTCTCCAGTTCCTTGCCGTTGACGCTGAGCCTAACGGCCTTCCTGAAGTCCTCGTAATACTTCCGGTTGACTGCGTGTCTAACGGCCGTCCTGAAGTCCTACTGGTACTTCCGGTTGACTGTGTCTGAAGTCCTAGTGGTTAGTGATTTCCACAGTTCACACCCACTAGAGCCAAAACCCTTCGAAATGTTGTCCCAAAAGAGTAACTCACACGTGGTGGGAAAGTCTGCGAATAAAAGCCTGCTCCGCTGCTTGGGTGAGACTGCTGGTGCCTTAGCGAACACAGAGACAGTTTCTGATACCAAAACCAATGGTCCAGAAATGAGTCCGACACCAAGCAGCAATGTTGCTGGCGCTGGAGATCGCAGTGTTTCCAGCCCTCAAGGTACTGACTTCGAAGATTCTGGAAACGGTAACCAGGGTTACGATGGTGACAAAGAGGATGACGAGCACGGTGATGACTATGACCCCAGCTGTCCAGGCATGGAGGACTCAGACAGTTCTACCAGCAGTGGGGAAAGCTCCTCCAGCCAGCAGGAGTTGGAGGAAGTTGAGGTTCTGGGATGCCTATTTTACCCCCATGAGCTAGAGCCAGGTGAGGTTGTGTATGAGGAGAGAATGCAAAGCCATTTCTCTCACCTCCACTATGAGTTGGAGCCTGGCGAGGTTTTGAATGAGGAGGGAGTAAGAAGGCAGTTCTCTCACCGCCACTGTGAGTTGGAGCCTGGTGAGGTTTTGGATGAGGGGGGAGTGCGAAGCCAGTTTTGTCACCTCCGCTATGAGATGGAGCCTGGTGAGGTTTTGCATGAAATGGCAGTACAAAGCCAGTTCCACCATCACCACCGTGAGTTGGAGCCTGGTGAAGTTGTGAATGAGGAGAATGCAGGGTCTGAAATGCGTGGACAGTCCAGTGAGTCCAGTGAGTCCAGTGAGTCCAGTGAGGACAGCAGTGAGCAATATGATATTGAAGAAGACAGTTCAATAGATGCTTGGATGGCTTTAGAGACCTCTCCTCTTCCGAGACCTCGATGGAAAGTCCTTAATGCCCTTCGTGATAGGCAGCTGGGTTCAAGTGCCCGCTTTGTGTATGAGGCCTGTGGGGCAAGATTATTTGTGCAGCGTTTCTTGCAACAATATATTCTTGAAGGCCATGCTGGGTGTGTGAACACTGTGCATTTTAACCAACAAGGCACCCTGCTGGCTAGTGGCAGCAATGACCTAAAAGTGATCCTGTGGGACTGGCTTCATCAGCGACAAGTACTGAACTTTCATAGTGGCCTCAAAAATAATGTCTTACAGGTTGCATTTCTTCCTAATTGTAGCGATGCCATCTTGGCCATGTGTGGCCGTGATGGACAGGTACGCATTGCACACCTCGCTGCTATGCCAGGCACCCGAATGACTAAGCGATTGGTGAAGCATGGTGGAGCATCTCATAGTTTGGCTTTAGAGCCAGACTCCCCTTTTAGTTTCTTAACAACAGGTGAAGATGCAGTTGTTTTCAGTATTGACCTCAGACAAGTACGCCCAGCTTGGAAGATGGTGGTAACCAAAGAAGATGGTAAGAAAGTGGGACTATATACAATCTTTGTGAATCCTTCCAACTCCTACCAGTTTGCTGTAGGTGGGCAAGATCAGTTTGTGAGAATTTATGACCAGAGGAAAATTCATGAGAATGTGAACAATGGAGTTCTCAAAAAATTTTGTCCTCATCACCTCATAAACACTTACCCAGCATACATCACCTCTCTAAAGTATAGTTATGATGGCTCAGAGGTCCTGACTAGCTACATTGATGAAGATATTTACATTTTCAACTCTTCTGATAGTGACAGAGCTGAGTATGTTAAGAGATATAAAGGACACAGAAATAATGCCACAGTGAAAGGTGTAAATTTCTATGGCCCCAGAAGTGAATTTGTAATGAGTGGTAGCGACTGTGGGCACATCTTCATCTGGGAAAAGTCATCCTGCCAGATTGTTCAGTTCTTGGAGGCAGATGAAGGAGGAATAATAAACTCTATTGATCCCCATCCTTACCTACCTATGCTGGCATCCAGTGGCCTAGACCACAAGGTCAAGATCTGGGCGCCCATAGCTGGATCTTCCAAAAATCTTACTGGGTTAAAGAAAGTGGTTAAAAATAATAAGCAGAAACAAGATAATTTTAGCTTGCACCACACTTCCCTGTTTGACCACCACATGCTTTGGTTCCACACGAGTCAACCGACACAGACAAATTACCAGCACAATCGGAGAGATATTAGAATTGAATATGGAGAAGCAGATTTCAGTGACTCTTCCAGTACGTCTGAGGAGGAAGAAAACCAAAACCAACATGATCCACAGTATCAGAGATCCTAATTGACATCCAGAGGCACCGCCTGAAGCAGGATACCACTTCAATACATGTGACTGAAAAATCAGCTTGAGAAGTATGTTTTTGTTTGCCTTCTGATTGCAGTGTTTTAGAATAAAAGTATTTCTATTTCCTCTCCACCTTTACCTTTATTTCTATTACCTTTTTTACTACATCTTGATACCCTTATAACATTACATGATTATTGAAGTATAACCAGCTTCCTTTGTTCTCTCACAGTTAACTAAGGACTTGCCTGAATTGGGTGAAAAATTATTGGTTTTGTAAGATCTTATTTCTGTTCCAAACACTGTTAGAATTTTAAAATTTTTTCATCAATTTAATTCTGAATATTAAAAATTTTGTTTAAAAATTTTAAGAGATGTGTGTGCTCTAAGATAAAGTAAAATAAAAGAAACCATGGTTTCTTTCTTTTTTTTTTATGAGCCCTTGGTCATGCACATACCACATGCTTCTTTGGCCTTTTTCCACTAAAAAGTAAAGAAGAATTATATAACTGGTTTATTCACATTTCTTGAACCTGAATTAATAATATGAAATTATTTTTTTCCTTTTTTTAAATTTATTTTTCCATTCAAAAAATTTACACTTCCCCCCCTCCTTCCATTCCCCTCCTGCTCCCCCACTCACCCTCTTCCCTCCCACTCCCTCCTTTAGGCACATTAAAGCTAGAGAGAAATTAAATTTAATCATTAAGTTTTTAATTGGTCATTTCAATGTTTTTGAAATGTCATGTTTGAAAAATACTACCTACCAAAAAGTCCTCCTGGGTTAATTCTTTCTATAAGTTTCTCACCAAATTTTAACAATTCCTTTATGTTGAACCTATAACAACTTCAATAGCAGATGAATTGTGCTTTTATAAACGAATTTGATCTGAAAATAATAGGAGAATGCTGTCAGTAGCTGGGGATGCGTATGGGTCAATGGGCTAAGAGGCATTGGTTGCTTTTCCAAAAACTCAGGTTCAAGTGAGTCCCATCACCAACATGGTTGTTCACAGCTGGCTGTAAATCCATTTCCAGAGGATACATCACCCTCTTCTGCTCTCCAATGCTTTTAGGCATACAGATAATACACAGACACACATGCAGACAAAAATAAAAATAAAAATTTTTAAAGAAACGAAGATGCATGTAGGCATCTATGCAGTGTTTAAAACTGAAGTATAATTTAGAAAGGTTAAACTGCTTTTAAATTATTTTCAGTTTTTTAATGTAAATTTGGGATTGTGAGTGACAAAATTCTATTTAATATTCCTTTTCCATTTTGAATATGTTATTAGGAAAAGGGAATGCAGAAAATCAACTTCCTGTAGATTTCAACTAGTCAAAACAGGTCCCTCTTTGCAGATAGTTGTTTAAAAGAAGGATGACACTGAAAATCCTGACAATGTCTAGCCTCTATAATACTTCCTGAAATGGATATTATATCTTCTCCAATGGGAACAATGTAGAAACCTTCATAATAAGAACGACTTTGGGATACAAGTTTGTCTTGAACAAATTTCACTGTACACTGAGATTCAGAGTTAGGGATAAGTGCTTGAGGACCTAGAAGCCTAAAGAGGACCCTAATATTGGTTGTCAAGAAAGGGTTAACAAATATCACAGAAAAAAAACTTGCCTGTAGAAAACAGTGAGTCTGAACTTCGCACTGTGGCTATAAATATGTCATAGGGTCTGAGTGGGTAAAGCTTGAAGTTCACATACCTAGAAACTATATAAAGCTTGATGGACATGAGAGGTTACCTCTGTATTCCCAAGTAAGAGAGGCAGAGACAAAATCTTAGGAGCAAGCTAGCTAGCCAGGACTAGTGCAAATACTAATTCCTGGGTTTAACAAGAGAACCTGTGTCACCATATAAAGTGGAGCTCTGTTGAAATTGCCTGATAGCAACTTTGGTCTTACACATGTAAGTGCCTGCAGGTATACTCCCAAACATATACACATACGTCACATATATATTTAAAAGTAAATGACAGGGCATAGAGATGGTGTGGGAGGTACTTCTGTCTATGCGCTGCTTTTATTGGTTAATGAATAAAGTAACTGGCCTGGTCTAAAGCATGGGAAAAGGAAGTTGGAGTAAGAAAGGAGCCATGGAGCTGCAACCAGAGACAGATGCTAGAAACTTTACCCAGTAAGCCACAGCCATGTGGCGATATACAGATTAATAGAAATGGATTAAATTAATATGTAAGACTTAGTCAATAAGAAGCTAGAACTAATGAGTCAAGCAGAGATTAACTATTTATGGTTTCTGTGTTGTTATTTTGGGGCTAAACTAGTCCAGTGGCTGGGAAGAACAAGAGTCTCTCTCCTCCCTATAAATTGGTGTGCCAACATGGTGGACTAAATCCATGTAAAACCTGAGAGGGCTTGGAAAGGAACTCTAGACACACAAATAAACAAAGTTTAGCAGCATTTCTTTTTCAGCTGGCAACTTGCCACAGCTCTTTTAAGAAAGGTTTTTCTGATTCAGCAGTAGCAGGAAAAAAGTTGCACCATTTTGAAATGCCAGCTTTCTTGACTATGCTGCCAGTGTGACCTCTGGCTCTTTCAGGTAACTGAACATTGTGAGCAACATGCTATTGCTTGCTTGGTGGCAACATGGACCGGCTGTGTGCCTAGAGATGAGGCACTGTGTTTGTCTTTTGGAGGCAGTGAGGAGCTCTGCCATGCTGGACAGAGCATAGCAAGCAGACAGTTCACATTTCCACTAGCAATTGCACAGCTTCAGTTTTTAAGAAGCACTTAGCATTTTAAGATGCACTGTTACACAGTAAAGAATTACAGATACACAATAGGATAGAGTCAGACATAAAAGACCTCTAAATAAGACACAGTGTCTTTTTAAATGTATGTAGGCTTGGGACAGAGAAGAAAAAGAGTATAGTTATAAAAGGAAGTAAATGGTTTATTAAAAAAACAAAGTCGTTAATGAGACAGAGTGCAGAGATAAAAGAAATAAAGAAAAATAAGCCAGGGAAAGAGGGATGGGGGAGCGGGAGGGAAATGGGAGGAGGGGAGGAGGTGGAAATTTTTAATTAAATAATAAAAAAATAAGCCATGTAAAGATGAAATATATAGAGAGAGTCTGGATTATATATACTATTGTGATTTCTTTAAATTTTCTCACTGTGAAGAAGCTAAGTACAGAGAAACATTTCATTGTAAAGGCTGCTGAGTTAAACCAATGCAAAGGTATCTTGACTTTAAAAATTGAGTCTAGGGGCTGGAGAGATGGCTCAGAGGGTAAGAGCACTGGCTGCTCTTCCAGAGGTCCTGAGTTCAATTCCCAGCAACCAAATGGTGGCTCACAACCATCTGTAATGAGACCTAGTTCCTTCCATGCCAGCAGTATATTGTATGCTTAATAAAATAATTAAATCTTAAAATAAATAAATAAATAAATAAAAGTTGAGTCTAAGGATATGTTGCTTTGGAAAAGAGGTTCTGCTTTTGTTTCCACAGAAGATGAGAACCTGTGGAATCCTTGAAGACTAATGTGATTTGATGGAACAAGACCCCCTGAAAGGTCACCTTGAACACCCCTCAAAAATTACTTCATCCAATAAACATCAGGAAACAGTTTGGAGAAAAAAATATGCTCATATTCCCAAGTATTATTTATAAATGTTTGTTTAAATTTAAAGAGGGATATGATATAGAGATTTTCATTTGTATGGATCCTGATTTATTGATACAAATTTAAGGTCAATTTTGTTATATGTATATTTCTGCTCTTGATTAAGATGTTGGGTTTGTGCGGTTCTTTTAAAAATGTAAAAGATAGTCATCCATAATAGTCAAGATTGTAGTCATGTTAGTTAGATTTTCTTGATATATAGAGATATATTTCAGTTAGGTAGGTATTCTTCAAATCTTTCAGCCCTTTAGAATATGGTCTTTAAAGTGTTTTAATAACTTAAGACTTTTCATGGCAATGAGACACATCTGCTGCTGGCAGCACCAGCTACTTCAAGAGGAAAATGGGCAATGAAGAGGCTCCTTATGGAGTTTGCTAGTCATTTGGGCAAGAAACTGCTCTTGCCTGGACTGCTTAACTGGAAATAGAGGACTCACAGAGAAGTGACTGCTGAACTTGCCTAAAGGTGAGATGGTCCTTCAGGGTTCCTGTTTCATAAAAGTCTGCTAGACATTCTGCAGGACACAGAAGAAAGTGACTGACAAACTGCCAATATAGGTGGAACTATCTTTGAAATTTCTTGCTTCATGGAAAAGTCTGCTGGATATTTTGGGCCTGTAGGCTGAAGATGGTACAGAAGAACTTTGAATGGTTGTCCAGGCAGCAAGATGTCATTGTCAATTCTAGAGTTTTGGAAGTAGTTTACAGTGTACTTTCTGTTTACTTAGGTAATATTACATACTTCTGGAGTCTTTGATGGAGTTGAAGAATAGATAGGAAGTAGATATAAATATTGTAACTGTAATTCTTGCCTGATAACTGTTTTGTTATATGTAATTTTACTATATTAAAGTCTTCCTTTTTGTTTAAACGGAAAAGGGGAAATGGTGTGGGAGGTGCTTCTGTGCTGCTTTTATTGGTTAATGAATAAAGAAACTGGTTTGACCTATAGCATGGGAGAAGGATGGCAGATTCAGACAGAAACCATGGAGCCACCAATGGAGACAAATACTGGGAACATTTCCTGGTAAGCCACAGCCACATGGAGATATACGAATTAATAGAAATGGGTTAAATTAATATTTAAGAGTTAGCCAATAAGAATTAAGAGCTAGTGGGCCAAGTGGCGATTTAAATAATATGGTTTCTGTGTGATTATTCCGTGTCTAAGCTAACCAGGTGGCCGGGAAGAACAAGAGCCTCTCTCCTCCCAACAAAGAGAGAGAGTTATTAAATAAGACCCAGTTTAGAGCATCCCTTAAAAATGAATAGTGTGTATGCTAGCAATATTACAATTTCTGTTGACTGTTAAAATGATAAAAACAAGATTAA